GGAGAGATGGTCAGGGGCTGCGATTGCAGTCGGGGGTCTCGGCTGGGAGTGAGGAGGGGTCAGAAGCCCGGCCCCCGGGGTACAGTTAGATGGGCAGGTGGGCTGTAGCCTATCATAATCCCCGGGGCAGTAGGGCCAGGTTGGCCAAGGCGTTGGGAGGGAAAGGCAGTGGGCTACCTTGAACTCGCTCAGCATGGGGTCATTGCTCTGTTTCAGGTGAGACAGGTCCAGGCGCCGCTGATAATCCTTGAGCCGCTGTGGTAGAGAGGGGGTGTTACTGGGACAAGCCAAGCACTATGGGGACCTCGTGGGGGCCAAGGCGAGGGGGCCAGGCCCAGGCTCACCAGCAGGTCCTCCATGTCACGCACGGCTTGGTTGACATGGTGCAGAATTTCCCGGCAGCACTCGGCCGCCAGCTCCACCTTCCCCCGTTCTGTGGGCTCCTCTGTGGGCAAGGGAGAGACCAGCTTGGGTGAACCCCCAACCGGGAAGGTCCTGCTTATGAGGTTAGAGAAGGACCTGGCCAAGGCAGGCTGCGCACCTGTGTTCTGGGCAATGCTCTGCAGGAGCAGCGGGTACTTGGTCAGCCGCTGCATCTCTGTGGGGATCATGTCCTTCAGCTGCAGGCGGCGGCACCGTGGGCGGCTCTCGGCCTCCTGTGAGCAAAAGGACGCTCCGAGGGTTCAGCGTCGGGCTGGCCTCGCACAGGGACGCCAGCCCCGTGCTCCCCTGGGACTCTGGAGTCCAGCCCGGGCCTCACCTGCACGAAGGCACAGAACCGAGGCTCCTTGCGCTGTTTGGCTTTGAGCTGCTCTAGGGCGAATGACTGGCGGCTGCAGAAGCGGGAGGAGATTTTCTGGAACCAGGAACCCTCGGCATCATCAAACTACAGCGAGAGTCACGTCTCAGGCGGGATTTGGACAAGAAGTGGGTCTCAAGTGAGGACGGAGCCTAAAGGACGGGCCTGTTGGCCCAGACCCCTGGCACTTGGGGGACGTTGAGCTCTGGTGCCCTGCAGGCCTGGATTCCAGGTCACCGGCTAGGAGGAGGGCACGGGGGCGGGCTGGGCGCCCTCACCCGGGCCAGCAGGACGTCTCCGATCTCCTGGATGAGGTAGCCACTGTCCTGCCTCCGTTTCATCAGGCGATCGAGGAACAGGGCTGCAGGGGGCCGTGGAGGAGGGGGAGCTCTGTTAGGGCCTGCGAGATCAGAGAACCTGGGAGGGTCTGCATCTGTCCCGGGGCCAGTGGGCCGGGGCCCTACTCTCTCATGTGCCCACATGGATGGGTATCTCCACCGCCCGAATGGGAACTCTCGGGGTCCGGGATAGGATGTCCCTCAGAGGCTGCCGGGAGTAGGCACTCAGGGAAAATGTTCTGGTCTGGGTCTGCCACCACGCAAGCCTTGAAGGTGGAAGACAGAGGTGGGGCGCACATAGGGGCCGCCCCTGCACTCACAATGCACCTCGATGAGCTCGTCCAGGCTGGGGAAGATGTTCTGCAGCTCCTCCAGGGAGAAGAAGCCGCCGTCAGCCATGGGCTGGTAGAAGAGATCGTGCAGCACCCGTAGCATGCGCACATGGGCCGCCTCAGTCACCAGCAGCTCTGCAGTCACCAGAGCAGGGAGCATCAATAGGGGTGCACGCTACAGTGGCAGGGAGGGGGAGGGGACACTTCCTAGAAGCTCAAGGAGAGCTGGGGCCAGCAGATGGCATAATGGTTACGTCGCTGGACTCCCATGTAGTTGACCACAGTTTGAATCCTGGACCCAGAGACTTCAAACTCACACTGGGTGCACATGCGTGTGTGCCCGAAATCCTGAGAGGAAAATGGAGAAGGGATACTGTGGTGGGGCCATCAGCCATGGAGGGTGATTTCTCCCTTTTTCTCTCTGCCTATCTCCCCAGAGAGCACACGTACCCAATAGCAAAAATCTCTTTCAAGAAAAAAGAAGCTTGGGAAGGGTTGGAGGGGCCCACATGGAAGGTTCAGGGTTTGCCTCCAGAAACCTCCCTGGGTACATGGGCATGTATGTGCCCAGGATCCATGGTGGCTGAGGCTGAGGGTGGACTGCAGTGTCAGAACCCTGTTGGGGTGACTGTCTCTTGCTCATGGAAGGAATAAAAACACTTTAAAAGAAATTGGTGGAGGGGCTAGCAGGTAGCATGGTGGTTAAGACACTGGACACTCCCACATGGCTGACCAGGGTTTGAGTCCTGGACCTGGTGGCTTGCTTTTTCACTTTCCCTCTCTCTCTCCCCCTCTTTCTCTTTCTGGTCAAATGAAAATAAATGAATGATTAAATAAATAATTCTTAAAAAATAAATAAAAAGAAAGAAATTAGTGGAGCAAGGGCAGGACTCTACTTGGGTGGAGTCCTTTGCCCCCTTAAATGGCCATTGATTCCTCCACCCAGTCATTCCCTTCCTTCTGTAGCAGCCAGCTCAGGTGACCAGTGCTCCCGACTTGCTGGCCATGGAACCTTCCATGATAAAGCTGGGAAGTCCCAGGCAAAGCAGAACTAGCTGCTCGCCCTATGACCTGTAAGTTTAGTGACTAACTGGCCGTCCACCCTCAGCCTTGGTTTTCCCTCGGTCCAGTAACTCCTTCTACACACGAGTTGTAGCCAAGATGCAGGTGGGTGCACGAGTGAGTTCCAGGCCCCGGAAGTGCCCTATGACTAAAGGCATGACTTTTTCTGTTAGGCAATATTTTCCTGGCGAGAGAAATAGCCGTTGTCTAACGTGGTAGCTGCTAGCCACGTACAGCTCTTTACATCTTTTTAAATTTTTTTTTTTTAAAGAGGTTTTTGCTATAGGGCGTGTGTGCTTGCCAGAAAGACAGACAGAGACAGAGACAGAAAGTGAGAAATCACCCCCCAGGAGGGATGGCCATGCCACAATCCCTTCTCCATTCTCCTCTTGGGATCTTGGGCACGCACACACATGTGCCTGGCGTGAGTTTAAGTCACTGGGTCCAGGACTCGACTGGAACTGAACTACGTGGGAGTTCACCGACATAGCCGTTACGCTAACTGCTGGTCCCAACATCTTTTTTTTTTTTTAAGAAGTATTTTATTTAACTTTTTAAATTTATGTGTTCATTTATTTATTTATTTATTTTGACCAGAGAGGGACAGAGTGAGAAAGAGAGAGAGAGAGGGAAAGTGAGAAAGGAAGCCACCAGGTCCAGGACTTGAACCGCAGTTGGCCATGTGGGAGTCCAGCTCTCCTATCCACCACACCACCTGCCAGCCCCATGGTCCCAACATCTTAATTAATTAAAATGAGATGAAAGGGACCAGCAGATGGCATAATGATCATGTCGCTGGACTCCCACAGTCGGTTGTGGGTGGAGTTCCAGGCCTGGCAGCTTAAAACTCATGCCAGGTTGGGGCCAGCAGGTGGCGTGGTGATTAAGGAGCTGGACACTCCTACATAGTTGACCACAGTTTGAGTCCCGGACCTGGTGGCTTGCTTTCTCACTTTTTGCTGTGTCTGTCTTTCTCAGGTCAAATGAAAATAAATTAAATTAAATTAAAAAACACAAAACAAAACAAAACCTCAAGCCAGGCGCATGTGCGTGTGTGCCCAAGATACCAAGAGGAGAAAGGATTACAGTGTGGCCATCCCCCGGGGGGGGGGTGATTTTTCACTTTCTGTCTGTTTCTCTTTGTCTCTCTGGAGACAAAAGCTATATAACAAAACAAAACAAAAAATCTCTAAAAAAAAAAAAAAAGAGAGAGATGAAGGGCCAGCCTGTGGTGTGGTGGTTAAAGAAGCTGGATACCACAAGGTCAACTATACAGTTCAAATCCTGGATCTGGAGGCTTGGGAAACATGCCAAGTGCATGTGTGCATGCATGCCCCACACATCCTGAGAGGAGAATGGAGAAGAGATTATGGCATGGCCATCCTTCCTAGGGTTGCTTTCTTACTTTTCTTCTCTGTCTCTGGTGAGCATGTGTGCTATCTAGCAAAATAAATAAATAAATAATAAATAAATAAATCAGTTATCAGGGACCAGATGGCTGTGCAGCAGTCATGCCATACGCTGTGAGGCTGACTCATGTGGGAAGGTTCCAAGTTCACGCCCAGAGACCTCCTGCATGCCCATGATCTAGGCTTCTGAGGCTGGGGGTGGACTGAGGCATCAAAATCCTATTGGAGGGCCAGCAGGTGGCGTAGTGGTTGAGTCGCCGGACACTCCCACATGGCTGACCACGGTTCAAGTCCTGGACCTGGTGGCTTGCTTTCTCACCTTCCTTCTCTCTCTCTAGTCAAATGAAAATAAATGACTGAATAAAATTTAAAATAAAAACAATTCTTTCAAACAAACGAACAAACAAGCAAAAAAATCCTACTGGGCATCTCTCTAACTTTCTCATTTCTGAAAGAAAAAAATAAGTAAACTTAAAAACAAAAAAGAGTGGGACCAGCAGTTGGTATGGTGGCTATGTTGCTGGACTCCCATGTAGTCAACTGCAGTTCAAGTCCTGGGTAGTCAACCGCGGTTCAAGTCCTGGACCCGGTGGCTTAAACTCACGCCGGGCATGGCCATTCACCCTAGGGATGATTTCTTGCTTTCTGTCTCTCTGTCTCTCTCTGCTTTTCTGGTGAGTGCACATGCCCTATAACAAAAATCTCTCCAAAAAAAAAAAAAAAGGAGGGGCGTGGTGTGGTGGTTAAGGTGCTGGACTCCAACATGGCCGACCACAGTTAAGAGTCCTGGACCTGGTGGCTTACTTTCTCACTTTCCATTGCTCTCTGGTGAATAGTAATAATAAATAAATAAAACTAAATAAATAATTCTTTTCAAAAATCTGCAATTAACAAAGCAAAACCAAAATTTGGTATTCACCTATATCCACCACATTTCTTTCCTTTTCTTTTTTTTTGGGAGAGGTTTTTGTTATAGGGCACGTGCACTCACCAGAAAGACAGAGAGAGACAGAAAGTGAGAAATCAACCCCCATGGGGGATGGCCACGCTGCAGTCCCTTCTCCTCCATTCTCCTTTTAGGATCTTGGGCACGCACACACATGCACCTGGCATGAGTTTAAGCCACTGGGTCCAGGACTCGAACCGCAGTTGACTACACGGGAGTCCAGTGACATAGTCATTATGCTAACTGCTGGTCCCTATCCACCACATTTCTAATACTCAGCAGCCACATGTGGCTGGAAGTTACCGAGTTGGTCAATGCCAATAAAGCAGATTTCCATCATTCTTCCATCAGATAGTTCCACTTATGTTTTTATCCTATCCGTAAAGGATCTGTGACCCAGAAAGTATTTACTTACTTGCTCTAAAAATTCCTTTTAAGAGTTTAGAATTTTTAGAATGAATTTTAATTATTTACATTTTTAAAGAATTATTTTATTAACTTTATTTACTTATTTAAATTTGATCAGGGAGGGACAGAGAAAGAGAGGGAGAGGGAAAGTGAAAAAGCAAGCTACCAAGTCTGGAACTCAAATCGTAGTTGGCCATGTGGGAGTCTAGCACCCTTAACCACCACGCCACCTGTTGGCCCTTATTTATTTTATTTTCAGAGAGATTTTTGCTACAGGGTGCATGTGCTCACTGTAGAGACAGAGAGAAAGTGAGAAATCACCCCATAGGGGGGATGGCCATGCCACAATCCCTTTTCCTTTATTCCCTTCTTTGGATTTTGGGCATGCATGCACATGTGCCTGGCATGAGTTTTAAGCTGCCAGGTCCAGAATTTGAACTATGACTGACCATGTGGGAGTCCAACGACATAACCATTACACCATCTGCAGGTCCCAGTTATTATTATTTTTTAATTTAACCAGAGAGAGAGAGAGAG